CCACCTTAGGTGTATGTGGCTGGCGCCTTAGCCACTTGAGCCGCAGGCGCCAAGCCTGTATCTTTTCTTAATAGTGAAGCCAGTGTAGTCTTGTTAACATATATTTATATTAGAGACTATTGAGGATTCAGTTTTTATGAAAACCGAAGTCATCTTTTGGCCCAGCACAGTGGCTCACACCTGTAATCCTAGCACTTTGGAAGGCCAATTTGGGAAGATTGCTTAACATCAGGAATTTAAGACAAATTCCAGCTTGGACAATATAGTGAGACCCTGTTTCTTTCTTTTCTATTTTTTCTTAGGACAGAGTCTCAGGCTTTCACCCTGGGTGAAATCACAGCAACCTCCAACTCTTGGTCTCAAGCAATCCTTTTGCTTCAGTTTTTCTGTTTTTAGTAGAGGTCTCGCTTTTGCTCAGGCTAGTCTTGAACTTGTGAGCTTAGGTGATCCACCTGCCTCAGCTCCCATAGTGGTAGGATTATAGGCATGAGCCGCTGCTCCCTGCCAAGACTCCATTTCTTTAAAAAAAAAAAAAATAGACAGCCATCATGGTGTTTTCTGTATTTCTAGATACATGAGGGGCTGAGGTGGAAGTATGGTTTGAGCCAAGGAGTTTGAGGTTACAGTGAGCTATGATTGTGCCATTGGACTCCAACCAGGGCAACAGAGTGAAACCCTGCCTCTAAAAAACAAGTATTTTTTTCTTCATTACAAGTAGTAAAGTTTGTTATGCAGAATTTTGAAAATACAGAAAAGTAGAAAGGAGAAAAATAAGGATTCCTATAGTCTTCCAATCTCCCCTATTACCTTGTGTTTATTCCTGTTTCTTTTTTAAACCTAAACATTTTATTTTGGAAATTTACATATAGTTGTGTCAAAAAACAAAATTGCAACAAATTTTGTTTAAATTTGATCTCATCTGACCTCATTTGCAATTATAGAATTTCATAAAATATGCTGGGTATGATGGCTCATGCCTGTAATCCAAGCACTCTGAGAGGCTGCAGTGGGTGGATTGCCTGAGTTTGGGAGTTCAAGACCACCCTAAACTAGAATAAGACCTCATTTCTAAAAATAGTTGGGTGGCACAGCACCTGTGGCTCAAGTGGCTAAGGTGCCAGCCACATACACCTAAGGTGGTGGGTTCGAATCCAGCCCGGGCTTGCCAAAACAACAATGATGGCTACAACCAAAAAATAGCTGGGCACTGTGGTGGGTGCCTGTGGTCCCAGCTACCTGGGAGGCTGAGGCAGGAGACTCACTTGAGCTCAGGAGTTGGAGGTTGCTGTGAGCTATGATGCTACGGCATTCTACCCAGGGATATAGCTTGAGGCTCTGTCTCAAAAAAATTAAAATAAAAAGAAATAAAAATAGCTCGGCGTCGTGGTAGGCACTTGTAGTCCCAGCTGCTTGGGAAGCTGACGCAAGAGAATTGCTTAAGCCCAAGAGTTTGAGGTTGTTATGAACTGTTACACCATGGCACTATACCAAGGGTGACAAAGTGAGACCTTGTCTCAAAAAAAAAGAAAAAAGAATTCCATGAAATAGAATAAATGTTCCAATGAGTTGAGCAGAGAAAGTTGATTTATAGATAGAAAGGGCTGAAGAAAGCAGAAACAAAGAAAAAGTAGATTTGTCATTTTAAAGTTACTTTCCTTGTAAGGTGGGGACAAAGAGAGAGTAATAGAAAAATAACTAACTTCTGGTTACATTAGGCTACTTTTTTGGTGTTAAGGATTGAAGCAGAGGGAACTTCATTATAAAGCCTATTAATGATTGAAAGTCCTGTTTGGGAAATTGGCTATTAACTCTTGTCGTGATTTCTCAGGTCAGGTAACAACTCAGTTTTAGTTTGATGATACGGGGAAGGTTAGTATGGGTGACTCATTTTTATTTTTAGTCTGGTTTGTTGTGGTATAGTGCAGGATCTTAGTCTAAAACAATGGCTTTCCTCAAACTGGTCTCCAAGTCCTGAGCTCAAGTCATCCACTCGCCTTGGCCTCCCAGAGTACTAAGATTACAGGCACCTGCCTGGCCAGTAGTGTCTTTTAATGAACAGAAATTCTGTTTTTAGAGAGTTATAGCTTTATTGAGATATAATTCACATATCATCCAATTTACCCCTGTAAATGTATAATTAAATAGTATTCCATATATTCACAGTTATACAATTCACCACAATAAATTTGAGAACATTTTTATTACCCCAAGAAACCCTACACCTTTAATGATCACCCCTAGTTCTAAGTAACCAGTAATCTTTCCACCTATATAGATTTGCCTATTCTACACATTTTATATAAACAGAATCATATTATATATGGTCTTTTATAACTAACTTCTTAACTTTTTTTTTTTTTTGAGACAGAATCTCGTTTTGTCTCCCTCAATAGAGTGCTGTGGCATCACTGCAACCTCAAATTCTTGGGCTTAAGTGATTCTCTTGCCTTAGCCTCTCAAGTAGCTGGAACTACAGGCACCCGTCCCAATGCCTGGCTGTTTTTTAGAGACGGGGTCTCCCTCTGGCTCAGGCTTGTTTTGAACCTGTGAGCTCAGAGAGTCCACCTACTTTGGCCTCCCAAATTCTGGGATTACAGGCGTAAGCCATTGTGGCTGGCCCTAACTTTTTTTTTTTTTTGAGACAGAGCCTCAAGCTGTCCCCCTGGGTTG